GCCTCATCCAGCCTGGCCTTGAACACGCCAGCGAGATACACCAGCCAGTGGGAACTGGAAAGATGTGAGGCTCCTGCATCGCGGAGGTGCGTGAGCCGTGGCAAGCCTGGAGACAGCGCGGGGAGGCTCCAGCGAGGACCAGGCTGTGCCCCTGGAGTTAGTTGTGGCTGTGAGCATCCAGCAGTGAGGATGGTGGTGCTGCTGTTTGTATTCCTTTGAAGGAACCAGGGCACAGGCTTCATTTCAAGCCCTTACTGACACCTTTCACTTCCAGCCTCCTCAGCACCTTGGTGCAGAGGGAACCTTATGCAAGCATTGTATTTGGGTCCTTCATTTATCCTTAGCCCCCCTCACAAGAATATGTTTGCTACTGCTCAGTCCTTTCTGGGTGGACAAAAGCACGGGTCTCCAGAGCTCCTGGACTGTCACTGGACTTTGCATCTTACTTTTCTTAGGGTTTATATAAGCAAAGTGCAAACAAACAGATCAACATGCATGTGCATGCATTGAGATTACCAAACCCACCCTGCAGGTAGTTCTATGGATTGTTTTTGTACAAGGAGGGCAAGCTCCTTAAGATTTTTAAAATAGCTGACAGCTATGTGGAAGCAAACGCCAAAAAAAATCAATAGGTGAGGGAGTGGTGGTTTGAGAGCTGCTGAGAACACAACATAAAGTACGGCTCTCTGCTTTCCTGCCTTGCAAAACCAGTCCACTGCTTCCTGAGCCCCCCCGTGCATGCCCTTTCCGGGTCACAGGCTCTTCGTGCGTGACATCTCCCGACACAGGCTTCCACATGTACCTGCACAGGTAGGTGTGCCCTGGGAACTTACCATTGTGCACCTGGCTGGCTTTAGCCCTGAAGGATGCTGTCTTGCCCCATCATTTCTGCACCAGCATTTCCCCACTTGCCACTTTCACCATGTCATTCCAGCATTTGCATCCCTCCCCTACCACCCTCTTATCCCTCACCTTAACCACAGGCATCCAAGCCTGCACAGGCAGCCCCTTGTCACTCCCAAGGACCTCAGCAGCCATGGCTGTGTGTCTAGGAGGCAGCTCTTACCTTTGGTCAGCCCACAGTGACAGCCTTCATCATTGTCTTGCTGCATCCTCAAGCAAGCACCTCTTGCTTTTCCCGGGCTGTCCCCTCGCCATAAGACATTCTCCAAACCCACTTAATTGTCTTCCTTCAGATCTGTACTTGCGAAAGTTCACTTTTTTTTCATATGTACCTGCAAACATGGAAAGAGTTATTCCACAGAGATACACAGACCTCAACTCATTCAATCTACTGACTCATACTGCCTGTCTGTCTGGGCCCATCTCTTCCTCCTACCATATTACATAGACTGTAAAGTCTTTGGGGAGGAGATAAACATTGCGGTCTGGTGATAAATCACATCTATTCATAGCCTCTGTGGCAGAGCAGGTTGCCTTAGCACAACACAGAAACATAATGTCTGTCACTGGCAAACATTTTTTCTTATGTTCCTCCTGACTATTTGGGTGGCAGTTCAGATTACAGCTCTTGAGTGTTTCCTGCAGCTCAGAAATGTGGTCAACATGTGATGCAGCATGTTGCCACCGTTCACGTCAGCTGCAGAAGTTCAGCAGGTCACAGGGACTTCATAAGTCAACGCTTCTAGGAGACTCTTGAGTGATGTGGTGCACCACAAGTGCTGCACTGCATTTTGTGGTTGCCAGTCAGGTGCAGGAGGGTTTGTGTTTATGCTAATCATGGTTCAGTTACCTGCATCTAAAAACGGGTGTAATTCACTGCCTAGCCCTTCAGAATCCAAAAGCTCTCCCAATCTTCTTAGATTCAGTTGGGCTACAGAGTTCCCAGTGAAGATCCAGCTTGAACTAGGTTCTTGTCTTCAATATGGACAGATGGCCAGGCTTTTTGCAGAGGTGCACAGAAGGAAAACAAAGAGCCAGTGGTCAAAAATTGAACCAGAGAAGGTTCTGACTCAATATATGAAAAGAGAGGGGGGAAAAAAGCCCTATGAAAATGTTGAGCACTGGGGCAGGTGGCCCAGAGAGGAAGTGGTCCTTGGAAAGTTTTCAAGACTTGACTAAACAAAGCCCTGATCAACCCATCTGAACTCAGTGTTGTTCTCACTTTGGAGACTTCTCATGATCCTTTCCAACCTGAGTGAAATTTTAAATATTTGGAGTGATTGGCTAAGAAAGAGCCTGGAGAAGGTTGTGATCATCTCCAAGCATCTAAAGGAGAAGAACAATATTCCCTCCTTCTAGAACAGAAAAGGGTATAAACTGCAGTAAGAAAGATTTGGGTTAAAATACTAGGAATGGCCTATGTCTATGTGACTGCCCTTTGTGCAAGGAAGGGACTGGCTGCTTCCTGGGGTCTGTTAAGCTCTACGTTTCACCAGATCTGATGTATGCCACAAACATTTTCATATCCACATATGTAAATAATGGGTCATATTTGAGTTATTCTACATCAAAGCTTTCTCATTATACTGACAGGAAGTCTCCAGATAAAAGCTGCCTTTTTCTTAGCAATATGTAAATCACTTCCAACATGAATTAACACAACTGGAGGAAAAAAAACCTGATTGGTAGATTTCATTTACTTTTAAAAATTATTTGAGTGGAGTTCTCTGCCTTCTATTAATCTCCACTAAATTGAGTTTTGGGGGAAATAAAACCATGGCCAAGTTTTTACATGTGAACGTCCTTGGTTTTGTTTGCATAAGCAGCCCTCTTCTGCCAAGCCTCTGTAGTCTACCCAACGCCTCCTTCCCAGACAAAGCAGTTCTTCTTCCCAAGGCTGATCAGCAGGGACTGAATTTTAAAGAGACTAAGTAAACAGAGCATCAGGTTTTGGACAAACTGATGGCTTTGTGGCAAGGTGTTTTCCCTGATGGCTACTCAATGCCTTTTAGGCATTAAATCCTTTCTCCCTCGAATCCTCATTCACCTGAAGAGAAACCAAACAAAAATACTGTCATTTATAGAGCTACCTATATGCCTCAGATACCTGCACCGATATCTTGTCAATAGGAAAATACTTGGGTGGCCGCATCCAAGTGTGGTGCTAATGACAGCTCTGCTAGAAGATCAGTTTTACCTACTGAGAGTTGCAAGTCCCATTCAGGACTTCAGAGGTTAGAGCTGGAGCCTGCATCATCCAACAGAAAATCACACCAACTTGGTACATAGCTAAAAAAGTTATTTTTATGGCTAGGCTTGAGGTCTAAGTTCATCGTCCAGCTTGTGCTGGAGACGCCAGCACAACGTCGACAATGAATTTAGATCTCAAGCTTATCTGTTATAAATTATTAATTAATTAATGTTCTTATTAATACACATTTCTTGTGCAGAGGCACAATTCATCCTCAACTCAAGCCTTGATTGTGCTTGATGACAGGGCAAGAGAACTAAAATATAAGTAATTTTATAAGTAATATGAATGTAGGGTATGACTGCATGCCTCTCTCTCCAAATAGCAGAACTCTTATAATAAAGGTTCACCCCTAAAACATTTCCCTAACTATTTTAGAAGACCAAACCAACTAATCTCTTAACAAAACAAACAAAAAAAGCCAAATGACTGACCAAAAAAACAAAACAAAAAACCAGTAAGGCATTACAGCAGCTTAGGCTATAGCATAGAGTCAACACTGAGCAAAGTGAAACCTCATCTCAGTAGGATTTCTTTATCGTTAAAGATTAAGATGAAGCCCTTATTCTTTTATTGCTTATTGAGCAATTCAGCCTTGTGCAAGCCTGTTACATCAAAAGCATGTCTGAGCCAAGGGGAGCCAGATACAACGTGGTTTCCCTTTGAACCATTGACAGGGCAGACCTACCTGGACTTTGTCTTGGATACATTCGAGACCTTAATCAGTTCCAGAAAACATACCACAGCTAAATGCTGTTCTTGCCCTCCTCACTACAGGTGTGTTACAAGTGGGTCAGAGGACAAGGGTTTTGCATCTGGAGCTCCTCTCTCAGTTGTGTTACTAGAACAGCCAGTACCTGAAAGACTGAAGTCACATTAAAATGGAAAGAGGGAACAGAGGAGTAAAAATAATCACACCTCCTCCACATATAATTTAACAAACATTAATCAATACTTCCAGGATTTTCTGCAGGGTTTTTAACTCTCTTTTGCCAAGAAAATAAGAGAATGTTTTGCAAGGCTGCAGTGGTGATGGGGAAATAATGTTATTGTCTGAACTGAGTTTAAAAAAAAAATTCAATATGACTGAAGAAGAGTAAGTTGGATGGTTAAAATATCCTCAGGCTGCAACTATTACAGATCTGGTTACAGTGATAATTAGAACAATAAACAAAGAGAAACCATAAGGTTGAAGGTTTGTTTTGTTTTGTCCTGTTTTTCAGAAAAGAACAATTTCTGAGGAATTAGGTCTTAAATAAATTGCAACTGTTTGGCTATTTTTAGGAAAGTGGGATGCATCTGTGTTAGGTGAGATGTACAAAGGCTGTCACTGTGAGATCATTCAGCACTGGATTATTTTGCATTTGTTGGTCTTCAGAAAAAAAGAATTGTCCTAGGAACAAAAGATATTTTAATCCCAGATACTGTATTTTTATAGTGCTGTTGATGGTGCATCAGACTCCCACTCTTATCTATTCTTTGATCCCTTATTACAGTTATGTTTTCTCTGGTTCTACTTTCTGTGTTTTTAAACTGACAGGTTTTTGATGGAAGGTAGTGGAAAAAGCTTTCTGAGAAGTGTAGCAAGCACCTGAAGAGCTTTATATCAGAGGCCTTTTATGAGTTAGTATGTTTAAAGTAATCTGCGTTTCCAACTCACAATAAAACTATTTGTTTCCTATTAGTAATTTAATTTTTGTTTTCCCTTTTTAAAGGGGATCAGCCATAGCAAGAATCATTGGCAAAAATGTCCAAAAGTCCAACAGATTTGATCCTACTGTCAACATGTGGGTATTTGAAGAGATCATAAATGGAATAAAACTCTCAGAAATAATCAACCAGGAACATGAAAATGTTAAATATCTGCCTGGCTACAAGATACCCAAAAATGTGGTAAGTTGAAAAAAAAAAAATCAATCACTGACATTTCTGGGTTTTATGAGGGAGGAAACACCTAGCAAAACTAAAACTGGGTAATTCACTATTTTGTCCTGGTTTGCCACCTCAGTCCACCGTTGACACAGAACTGACTTCTGTGGCTTCTGCTTGTCTCTGTGTCACACACAACTTCAAACACCCAACTGTCAGGTGCTGTTAACACACCATCCTCCTCTCTGGCAGAAACCAGCACAACTCTAGACATGGCAGGCAGAGATTTGTCTATACAGAAGTGAGACATTTCAAACCCACAGCATCTTCTGGGAGAAAAAAGGAAAGCTACTGCTCTCCCTTCTTCTAAGAAAGAAATCGGTAGCTAACAGCTGTGGCTTACAAGATGAATAATGAGCTATCAGCTCTTGGCTGATGTGATTAATAATACCTTAAATGCCACCCAAAATATAGGGCATTTCATTTTCTTGAACGTTTAAAATACCAAGTTATGCATTTCAAATTATTCAGCTTAGATAATTAACTGGTACCGAAGCAGGTGAGGGGGTTTGGCTGTTCAAGATCTTTGGAAATGCCACTTTTTAATGAATTAAAGAAAGTAGTGCCAGGTTCCTGCAACAGTTGTGGTTGTAAAAGGAAGTTAGGGTGCTGCACGTGGTGGGTCTCGGTGCTTGGAGAGTGGTTATGTTTAGTTCTCCATTTAGTGCTGCGACTGCGTATTTGCACGCCCGTGGTTTGAACTTGGCACACAGTGTTCCTGGGTTGCAGTTGACTTGTCCTTGTTATTTTTACAACTCTTGAGCAGATCAACAGGCTTGTCATCATGGCTCCAGATCAGCCTCGTCCTGTCTATAGCAAAGTCTGAGGCTTTACCACTAGAAATCAGCTGGTTGCAGTGAAGCCTGGAGGGACCCTCACACCTTTATCTCTGACTGAGAAAAAAAAAAAAAAACAACTGATTTGTTCCTTGCGTTGCTCTGCAACATTTTAGAGAGAGAGGAGCACTATCTGTGGAGTGCTGCCAGCTGCTTCCCCACTCCTGCACTGCTGTTTTCCTGGAGAAGCAGCCTTGCTGGCAGCAGTTCTGGTTCTCCTGCTGTGAATCCTGCCTGCTCTGAGGTGGTATGCTCCAAGGTGCTGTGCTCCAAGGCTGCATCCAAAGCAGTGTTTGCTCTGATTGTAAACAGCTTGTGATAGCAGGCTCAAAGTCACCTGCCATTGCCTCTGTAACCTGGCTTGAGTTGTTCTGACTTAGGCTAGCATTTGGAGGAAGATACAGCCTGCTAGTTATTCAGCACATTGGGTAACTCTTGGTCAAGTTGCTATAGATATAAAGCAAACAACACATCCCACCCCAAATATGATAATAATCTCTGCCTTTTGATACAGTTTGTTCCTGAGTAGCTCTCAGCTGGTAACCAATGGAAACTAAAGGTTGCCAGAAGAGGCTCTGTCTCACCACCCTGCTTTGTTCCTGTGCTCCCTGGTGCTACCACTCATTCCACCAGAACTATATGGGGTTGCTCAGTGTCTTCAGGAACCACCTGAAGAACCTGAACCAGCAAGGGGGCTTCCCAGGACAGTGAATGTTTAGAAAGTATCTAAATATTTGTGGATAATCCCCAGATAATCCACAAAGGGCTGAGATAGGAGGCAACTTAAAAGCAAAATTATTAAAAAATCCAACCCTAAAATAGTTAGGCTGCTTTGAAGATTTCAGAAGAGAGCTGCAGTTGTTCACATGAAGAGCTGGCCATTTAGAATTAAGAACATCTGCCACATGTCTTCAATGCCTTGGGCAAGTTGGTGTCTTGCAAGGTGTGAGGATTCCTACCTGGGCCTCATTTTGCTTGTCACTCTTGTTCCAGGTGGCTGTACCGGACGTTGTGGAAGCAGCAAATGGGGCAGACATTTTAATATTTGTTTTGCCACATCAATTTATTGGAAGAGTCTGTGAGCAGATTGCAGGCCAGATAAAACCTGGGACATTTGGGATTTCACTGATCAAGGTAAGTTGTCATCTCCACAAGTCTCAATCTGTACAGAGTAAATAGCTTCAACGTAAGGGTAGGAGCTTCAGTCCTCAGCTTCGTGTGCTGTATAAACACAAGTGTTTCTTTCTGCAAGAGTTAAAACTTGCCCAGCCACTGCTAGCCCTGCTGCTGCTCATGTGGCCACAGAGAAGAAAGGATGGGGCAGCCCAGCTGGGCTAAGGGTGACCAGCTTTGCCAGCCATCTTTAGCCTGGATCAGTTTCCATTTGGTCTAGCACAGAGCTGAAAATGGGCAGAGAGAGGCCTATATAAGCTCGTGCTGCTGCCAGGAAAAATAGTCATCAGGCTACAGCCTCAATTAACTCTTAGCTGGAAAGAGCCCTGGGTCAAAGTGCCTCTTCAAAGTACATGCTGAAGCTGTTCTTGGCAGCATTAAAACTGCACAATAACACTAATGCTTTTGTAGAACTGAAGCAATTTCAGGGTGTCCTGAAGTGAGGAATCTGTTTTTAAAGTTAGAGGTGCCAGATTATCATAATCTTAAAAAGAATTAACATTTTAAGAGAATCTCAAACTAAAAGCCAAAGGCAAAGCATAGGAATAGAGTCTACCGCTGCTGCTTCTCATTGCATTACAGGAAATACCCAATTTAAAATTCTAATTAAAAAAAAGCATAATTCAGGTTTTCAGACTGCAATACCACCTCTTCCCCCACTTTTTTTTTTCCCCCTCTATAGAAGTTATCTCACAAGAAGCAGTATAGAGAGGAGAGGAGAGTGGGAGAGGAAGGAAATTCCTGCAAATTTCTTTCTTTAGCTTAAAAAAACGCCAAGACACTTCAGTATACTCCTTAACACCAACTAAGTACTCTGATTATTAGGTCTTGCAAAAAAAGCCACTGCTTTCAGGCTTAATTTAAAGGCCTGCTTCTGTGCTACAAGAATTTAATACAAAGGAAAGATACAGCATCAAAGAGAGCCTGAGGACAGCAGCCCTGGATGCGAGGCCTCTTGCAGGGTTACATCAACTGTTGCTGCCTTCTCCCTGAACTTGCCTTGAATTCGCAGTTATCAAAGTACAAACCCAGAGCCTTTGTATCAATGGCTAATAGTAGTGAGTATAAGGCCCAAGTCCTTCCAACTAAAACCAGAGAGCTGCAGGCAACAGGACACCTTCTGCCTCAGCAATGCTCTGCTGCTGTTGTTTTCCTCATAACCTAGCTGTGGCTATCATCTTTTGTTCAGGGGATCGATGAGGGTCCTGACGGCCTGAAGCTCATATCTGACCTCATCCGAGAGCACCTGAAAATAGACATCAGTGTTCTTATGGGGGCCAACATAGCCAAAGAAGTGGCTGACGAGCAGTTCTGTGAAACCACCATTGGTAACTATGGCGAAGAGCGAACTGGAGCCGCTGGCTGGTGTTTAACTTGGCCGGTGGCTGGGCAGCAGGAGAACGTCTGGAGGCAGCAGGGGGATGAGACGTGGTGGGTGCAGTGCCCACTGAGCTCATTCAGGGAGGCAGTGTGATTTACAGGGAGGTTGGTGCTGGCAGGATCCAAACTGACAGCACATTTCAGTGCTGAGAGCTAATTTAATCCTTTAAAAAATTACAGCTTAATCCTGTTTCTGTAGGAGTTGGCAAGAGTCATCTTTTGTGTCTGTACAGCTCAACACTGAGTCCCTCAGCAGTTGATGCACTATGCAGGCTAGCTAGCTGGAGGAGTGTAATCAGAAGCTCATATGTGCTCACACTCCCCGAGGGGTATTTCTCCATCATCAAATTTCTTTATTTGAAAAAAAAAGAGCCAAAAAATCAAAACAACCCCTCCCCAGTAACATTATGTTCCTCCCTTGCATTCAGACTCCTTGCCAAGACATAGCCTCAGATCCTCCCAGAACTGGGTCTGACCTGATCTGTAAAGCTCATCCAGTAGTTTTTACAACCCATAGATTTTTAAGGTCAGTTGAAAGGAAAGTTACATCCGTCTATAGCTAGGGAAGGAAAAAAAAAAAAAACAAAAAAATTGCTGTTATGAGACCGTTCCTTTGCCTTGGAAATGTTACAGTAATAGTGACAACTGTCCCAGCTGGGTGTTTGATGCTGGCAGAGCAAGTAGACACAATAGGACTGGACATGATTAGGAAAGTTGAGCAATATTCATGTTCTTGAGGGGTATTTAACTTGCGCTGGCCCAGTGTGAAGCCATGCTGTGATGCTGACTATGCAAAGAGCTTTGGCCCTCATGGAAAGCCACATAGCCCAGAAACAACCACCTCAAAGAGACAAGGTATCCCCCAACATTAATTATTGTTAAGAACAAGAAGCAAACCCAAAAAGTTCATTGTGAGATGGGGCAGAAACTCCATAGCTATCAGAGTGCAGTGCCTCAGGCTAGTAAAACTCACTGCTGAGTTCTCCCTGAAGGAAACCAAGCTGCATTATATAAAAAAATTAAGTGAAACTCCATTCAAAAGTCTTTGCCCAGCTGGCCAGGGACTCTCTGGAAAAGGCAAGCCTCAGTCCTTTTTCTGCTGAAGGCTCTGTAGTCTTCCTCTCAGTACGCAGGGCGAGCACAGTGATGACATGATACATGACCACCACAGAATTGGTAAACAAAAATGTTCCAGCATTTTTTCAATTGTCATCATCTGTCAGTCTCCCTGTAACTGGGCATTAACTGGTCCTTAACCATTTATGCCCCATAATAATACTTAGTAATTACACTGGTTTACGTTTTCAAAGCAGAAATTGTACTGCATTGTGCTGTACAAAGCAATTTATAAGTATTACCTTTTGCAGGGTTTGTGGTTATAAAACATTTCTCAGGCAGAAGGCTGCCTTAGGGACTATCTACTTTTAAGCTCTTTAAAGTGTTATTTAAAGTTATTATTAAAGTGATGCCTGGTCAATGTCCTGGGACTTGCATACATTTAACACTGGCTTCCAGCAGCAGGAACTGCTGTCACACAAATCTCTTGTTTAGCAGCATCCAGTTACTGGGACCACAAAAACTAGAGTGGTCCCTGGGACCTTTTTTCAGGTTTCAGTTAATTGTGTGTAATCTCAAGCATTGCAAAAATGCTCCAGCTTTCATCCTTCCTTCCCACAGGGTGCAAAAACAAAAGCCAAGGAGAAATCTTTAAAGAATTACTGCAGACCCCGAATTTCAGGATTACTGTGGTGCTTGACTCTGATACAGTGGAGATTTGTGGAGCCTTAAAAGTGAGTGACTTCAAACCAAAATGTTTTTATTAGGTCTGAATTCTACCCTCACCTGAGTCTTCTGTAAGCCACAGGGTCTAATATGAGTCCTGCCACCGTGTGATTGAGTGAGCACAGGCAACATGCGTCGTTCACGTGCCACTTTTCCAACCTGCAAAAAAGGGAAAATTTACATAAAAGTATAACTGCTGGCAAAGCATCTCAAAATATAGTTGTATTTTTACCTTTATTTTACCAGCATCTCTGCTTCTGAGGCTAGAATTTAGTCCAGCCTATCTTCTTGCCTGCACATTGTAAGAAAATGGAACAAAGACTTTTACTACGTATAGTAGCTCCCACTAAGAACTTGTTTCCATGGCTCAAGTAGTAACCTGCTAGAAGGTTTGCATCAGAAGCAATGCTCTGTTTTGGCTGTGCATTGTCTGTGCAGCATTCAGTATTGCCCACATTGAGATCCCAGCCTGAATCAGAAATTATACCAAAACCACCAGGTTTCCAAGGAGGAGGCGCTTGAGTTAGATTTGGAGTTTCCTTTTAAACATGGTGAAAGTGACTCTAGCCTGTGGCCCTTTGTATTTGTTCATACATTCAATCATGTGTACTGCAATAATTCACCTTTCCTTGGAGGAGGGGGGATTACTGGCTAGGAAAGAATTGGTCCTGCTTAACCTTACATAGGAAAAGAAAAATTTCTTTATATGTAAAACCAAATACCCCCATATTTTGCTTTCGGACACAGACTGGAAACTGGGGGCATGCACAGAAGGGGGAGAGGTAGTTTCTGTTTTGTGGGAAAGCTTTGCTCTTCTTGAAATCATTGCTTTGGCAATACCTTTGTCAAAAAAAATAAAATAATTCTACACCGGGGCGTGGGCATGTCTAGAGCAAACAGTTCAACAGCAGTACGAGGGGACATATTACTCATATACAGTGAACTACATTTACTTGGGGACTTATTTAGGAAGTGGGAAGGGAGGTGTGCAGGACAACGGTGAGGAGTTGTGAAGATGTTTAGGACCCCAAGAGATAGATATGTTTAGAGCTGTAGAAAAGGGCAAAATTCTAGTGATCATTTTTGCAGGTGAAATCAAAATTTGATCTACTGCACCATCTGTATGTAGAACCCATGTCTGTTAAATTAGAGACCCACAGAGAACACCTACCCTGTGTGGGATATTTTAAATAGCTAAACCAGAAAGGTCAGTGAGTCCCCACGTAGAACCTGCAGAAAACCAAACCTTGAGTTGCACACACACGTGATCGCAGCGTTACTGTATTGTGCAACCTGCGCCCATTTTTGCCCATGGGAACAACAGTGGGTGCTTTATAAAAATCTTGTAGAAGTTCATCTACTTCTGTTCAACACTACCTAGCTGTCAACCTTCTTCATAAGATAACCCCATAGTCATTGGAAATGGAACCTCCTGCTGGTGTGATTTCCTTAAAGCTCAGAGCACGCTGATGAGCCACTCTTGGTGCCTGAGCGCTTCCTTTCCTCCTCTGAATCTCCCCCTGAACTGTTCCAGAACATCGTAGCAGTGGGAGCTGGGTTCTGTGACGGGCTGGATTTCGGTGACAACACCAAGGCAGCCGTTATACGTTTGGGCCTTATGGAAATGGTGGCCTTTGCCAAGATATTCTGCAAGGGGCCGGTGTCCATAGGCACCTTCCTGGAAAGCTGCGGCGTCGCTGACCTGATCACCACCTGCTACGGGGGACGCAACAGGAGAGTGGCAGAAGCCTTCGCTCGCACAGGAAAAGTAAGGAGGACTTTGAAATGTTTTACACCAGCTCATGAAGAAATCCTTCTGTGTTCTAGAAAGGCAGCATTAGCTGTTTGCCTTCTTGGTGACTGCTGGTATCGCAGCAGTATCCCCTCTGATCCAAGTAATCACTCTCCTCTCTTCTAGTCCATCGAGGAACTGGAAAATGAGATGCTGAATGGACAAAAGCTGCAAGGTCCTCAGACCTCAGCTGAAGTCTACAAGATTCTGAAACAAAAAAACATGCTTGATAAGTAAGTGCTTTTATTTTTAAAAAGCTGAATCAACAAGAGACGATGAGTGATCCATAATCTCCTTAATGGTACTCATGTCCAGTTACCTTGGTCGTTTCCGTAACAACTGCTTTCTACATCTTGGGCCACCGTAAGCTGAACTCTCATTGCCATGGTCAGCAGGATGGCATGAAGGCTAAACAGCATTAGAAAAGACAAGCCACAAACAGATAGGAAACCAAAAATATAATAATAATGCAAAGGAGCTACCCAGGCATCCCCATCCCCCTAAAAAAGACTGAAGGCTATACCCAGAGTCAGCTTGCAAACACCTCTATGGGCCACAGGGTTTCTTCTTCCCAGTGTATCACCATTACAGCTTGCAGCAATGCTGCTCTCAGCACAGACGTTAGCTAGCTCATCTCACTATAGAACCTGGGAGCATACTCCTAATAAAAAAATATTACACACGCTCTATAGGTAATAGGTGCTGATATCAATGCTTTAGTGCCACAGATAATGCTGAGAGGGCAGGGCAGGGCAGGGCAGGGCAGGGAAGGGTTCCTAATTGTTTGGGATTATGTAAGATTATTTATAATTTGAGACCTTTAAACAACAGAAAAGCTAAACTTCTCCCCGTCCCATTCTCTCTCACACATTAGCAGTACTGAGAGGTCAAACACTGCTAAATAAATACTTTTCACAAAAAAAATCTATTAGAATTATAACAGAGACAGAAGACTGGAGTGGCATTATCTTTCAAAAATAAGAGAGAAAAGGAAAGCTAATTTTGACATGACGTGAACTTTTAATCAAAACTTGATCTAATAATTAATTGCACTTAGTTACACACAGCTCCAAGTCATTCTAGTGGATTCAATTTTTACCACATAATGACTAAGAGCTTGCAAAAGTGAAAGAGCCCTTTAAGCCTGGAAAATTATTAGACATTTTCATTCTTTTTAGTCTTTTTGTTATCCGTAATGCATGCAAATTAGATATGCATTTGCACACAAAGGAAAAAGAGGATATGCAATTCAACATTTGTTTTAAAAAAACCAACAAGCTACTGGATAGCAATTTTGTCTCAGACTAGCTCTTCTCTGCTGTCAACCCCAAGAACTGTCCCAAGCTCCTCTGACTTGCCCTTTATAGTCTTCCAGTAAAGGCACCTCTAATTTAAAATTATATTGTACAGACTGGGAGAAGTCTTCCACTTTCCATCTAATGTAAGAAAGAAAAAAAAAAGATAAATATTTTTCCCATTTTAAATGTAATGGAAATGTTTATATAAATTTTTAAAATTATTTTCATTGCTACACACTTCTTTTAGGTTTCCATTATTTACAACCATCTACAAGATCTGCTACGAGAGTCAGTCGATCCAGGAATTCATCACGTGCCTGCAGAACCACCCCGAGCACATGTAGGGATCCCCTATCCTCACCTGGCTGCAGTCTCATCTTCCCAGGACTTCTGTCCACTCCATGGCAAATAAAGAAACAGGTCATGTGACACTTACTCTAAAAGCAACAAAGAATGTATTTCAGTATCCTCATTCTGGGGGTAATAACCTGCCTTTAACTTCAACATTATACCCAAGGAAGAGGAAATGAATGTAAAATTTAACAGTATTTTATTTGAGCTAGTAATGTGGGAATTTCACCAGAATTACTTTCTTGTTGATTGAAAACAGTTCCCTTTATAATTTCCACAAAAAAAGCTCAAGCTAGCTTACATGAACCTCAACGTTTTGCCTGCTAATAAAACTTACAGAACAGCACAAAATGCAGAAAAATCAAAGAACTCAACCAAACCGAAAAAAAAACATAAAGTCTGACAGCAATAAATACAATCCCTTGGGCAAATGTTGAGTTTCCATAATTCCCCTCAAGCACAAATGATTTTTTTATATTTGTTTCCTTGATTTAATTTCCCAGTGTGAGCCTCTTTGGAAAAACAGGTGTTGTTACTGTGCTCGGACACATGTGAATGTCCAGCAGATGTATAAATTAAACAGTTTAAGGGGCAGGGGGAAGGAGAAAGGATAGGGTATGTTTCAAGTTCAGGACACTAGGAATCCTCAGTAGTAGTTTGGCTGTTGTTAAGCTTACTGTATTCTGTTAAAATACAGAAAATAATAAACTGAATAGCTGGCTACATTTATGTAAACATCAAGATTTCTCAGCAAGCCAGTGTCATTAACTCGTAGAAGCTGAGGGGAGAACTGGAGGCTGGCAAGGAGGATGTGCACGACTCGGCTTGTGCAATGCTGTTGTTCTGAGGGTGTAACAAGAAGCAGTGAAAACCCCCTGTGATACTTGACTTCTCATACACCTGTGAAAACGACCGCTACAGACTCACAGAAATAGGTAAAACTGCACCTGAACCTAGCCTGCATTTTAACTCCACTGCTGCCCCCAGTGCAGCTTTCCAGGCTGCAGAGCAACGCCCCGACCCCGCTGCTGCAGCAGCAGCTCATGCTCCAGAGACCTCTCTCTCCATCGAGTTCTGCGTTGCCAACAAAAACTGGTTCCCCTACCGGATATTTTATTTTGCTACCAGTGGCGTTAATTTTAGAAACAAAACTTTTTAAACCTAGTTGTACTTGGGTAACTTTACATACCTGATCTTTTTCAGAGTTCAAGCCTTCTATGAAATGAAGAGTGGCACCTTTTATAAGCTTTAATACCCTTTTGAAAGACTCCTGTTTTAGTAGGCAAGGCAAACAAAAGGACGAGTAACCTACTTTTGCTTTGCTTTACCTGATTTGCCAAAATAGCAGAGGAAAGCAAGTGCTGTTTTTTTAATCTATGTATTCACTGGCATAGTGCTTGGGGGGGAAGCTAATTATAAAATCATCTCCACTCTGCATTTTAGAGGAATGTTATCAGAGTAATATATATAAATGTACTGCAGTTATATCTTGTAAAAGTGCCAATCTCAGAGCTGGCAGAGCCGGCTCGGTACCCAGCCCCGTGCCTGCAGCAGCCCGATCCCTGCTGCACGGCGGCAGTGGTGTCTCACCTCCTCCACAGCCCTGCGCCCCCGCCCCACGGCGCCGGGCTCCGCAGGGCAGCGCCAGCACTCCTGCCCCCAGACAGGAACCCTGCGCCAGACCCTTCACACAGAACAGGGAGCCGGCACCTCCCACCTCAAGTGGAAAAAGACTTGCATACTGCCTAATTCTTACTTGCATACTGCCTAATTCTTACGTGTCAAGTACATGAGTGTGAGACAGGGAATCCAGGAACCTCCCTATGTCACCGGCAGGCCAAACTTCCTGCAAGTCATACATGAGCTAATAACAATGTACACTTTGATTGTCAAATGTTGCATCAAAGAAGAGTTTAATAAAGCGATCAATGTTAAGACTCAATGTAATTTCACTTTTCAAAATTCTCACAAAATAAATGACTGTTTTAATGGTTGTCTTTTACTGCACTTATTCCTGCGGTTAGTAATAGTTGGCCCCCAAAGAAAAGGACAAGAAGAGTCAATTTTCTACAGATTTTTTTATTGATGAACAATTTTTTCTTCTCTTGTATGACATACTTTTCTTACACAGACATTTTTACTCCATAAATAACAAAAATTAGCCCTTATATCTCAATCCAGTCAAAATCTATGTAAAATAATTTGTTCTATATTTACATTCTGTACCAAAATAGGAAACACATTTTCAAGGTCGGCCAGATCTCTCAAAACAGTTATTTCATCTCCAAGGTAAGATTCACATTAAAAAGGCAACATTTCCACATGGGAAGTCTGGAGTGTAGGATCCCATCAGTTAGTGTACAAACAGACCCTAGTCCTGACAGGTGACACAGTCAGCCAGGCAGAAGCTGGTTGTTAAATCTCAAAGGGAAAGACCTTGGCTCAGCTGACTGGAAGTTGCTCCTAGGAAATGTGGGGAAGAAAGGACATTTGCCTCACTTTCTGCTGAAATATATTCCACCAGAAAGATTTGCAGGACAGGAAGATTTTAAACCAACTGTCCCTGTAAGGGATTGTGGATATGTCTCCTTTTAAGCAACATCAGTCTTCCTAATTTACTAGTGCTCAGCAGAAAGAGTGAGCTGCATTGGACTGACAGTCAGTTAATGGGGGGGGGGTCAAGATTCTCTGTCAGTAATTAACCTACATCCCAGGCCGTGACAGTCTCCTAAGACCTCAACTCATTTCAAGAGGAGTGAATAACCTGCTTCTCCGTGTAATTTCACTTGCAGCATACTCCAGCCAAAAGCTATCCTCCTTGCAATTGCTTCAAATACCAGCAAAACGTGTTCCTAAAAGCACAACTTTGCCTGGACTGCTAATGGAAATCCTCCCGATTTGAACTACTCGGGGGAAGAAAGACCACAGGACAAACTCACTTCTGTAAGGAAACACAATGTTTTTTAACAACTAAAATTGTGGACATTATATACTGAAAATATTTGTGCTGCAGGCAAGTTAAGTCGCTTCCTTCTGGGTGGTTTCCAGGGCCCCTGGTGCCCTGTCCACTCTGGGGAAAATACAGAGGCTCCTGGGGGCTGCAGTTCAAGGTTTTCACACGCCAGAGATGCCTACTGGACACAGTATGGCCAGGACACCTAAAGCTCCTGCCTGCAAACCTTGTATTTAAAATCAATATTAGCTTTTACTGGGGAAACTACACTTAAGGCTACTTAGCCGATTGGTTTAAGCTACAATTTTAGCTGTGTTCTACACTCAAAAATGGCTTATGCTTCCTACTGTATTTATTTTGCTCTTAAGAACCTGAGACATGATTTGACTTAATTCATCTTAAGATGTGAAAGTTCACAGCAGGCTAGAAGCTTAACTCGAAGACAAACAGAACTGAGGTAGTCAGTTTTACTCAAATATTCTTTCTGACAGCCACCAATTCATTCTCACTTTAAATTGAACTTGACATATTTCTTGGCAGTTCCAGCACAGCTACAGCTGCTAATGCACTGATAGGGCACACAACATGTTGGATTTTACCTGCTGAAGCACCTTCCCTCCCCAACTTGTCCAGTTCTGCAGTTCACAGCCAGTCGAAGGGCTGCACGTCAAAGAAATTACGACTGAAATCTCAGATTATTAAGGCAGTAATAATTTTACTTCACTGGATTCACTGATGCAGCTACTCAGCAGGTACTGGTGAATCTGGCCACAAGAGCTCCGACAGGCAGACAGATTTTCCCCCGTGGGAACAATGCACTACAGCCTCTCTCTAATTAATGCATACAATTCAGACATAGGTAAGCATTGACTTTTTAAGCCATTTTTCAGTTAATTCTCAGGAAGAGAGAATAAAAGAAAAGCCCTCAAGATAAACAACTGTGCAGGAGATAAAAATATTCACTTAAATATGACAAATTTCACACTTACACAGACAGGAGATTAGCATATCAAATACTGAGCACAATAAATTAACACCAGTAAAAAAGTTTGACAGTTATAAAGTCACCAGAAAGTTCAGACAGTGCAAATATTTCACAGTAAGAAAAAATAACCAATAATTTCAAGTATCAAAAGCATTGTTGTCGAGTGATACCATTTCAACTGTATTATTGCACAACAGACAAAAAATACAGCATCAACCCCCGGGACCCATGATGTACTCGCAAACCTTTGTGTTTTCAAGGAATCAGTTTACACCAACTGTTGATTGTGCATATATTAAAATAATCAGCATTTGCTTATTAATCTGAGCGTTCCTTAATTTGAACTCGTCCACGTTTAAAGCATTTCACTCCCAGTTTGTATTGCTTCTCAGAAACACCTATTTAAGGCTAGCCCAGGCCTTGGAGCAAACTTTACCTGCAGCTAAGAGGGGGAACTATCCCAGTGCAAGGTATTCTCTCAACTGTGATGCTTCAGACAGTTTTAGGATGCAGCTTACTCACCTCACCAGTGTTATAAGAGTTTCTTTAAATAAAAAGCAACCACCCACACCAAATCCAGTAGGCACAAAGATTTTCTTACAATTACAATGGAAGTCCTATTATTAAACAGGCTTAAGTGTAGCTAAATAAATTTTACTCCACACGCCTTGCATTCCCTTACCTCTCATTTTAGAAAGGGATCTGGTTAGTCACTGACAATTCTAACATCACAGCATGTTTAAGAAGCAGAGTAACATCATCTTTCTCCCTATATTTGCATTTTTCAGTGCACTGGGCATGTCTGCTCCCTCAAGTTTAACACTTTTCCAAGAATGAAAACTATCCTAAGAGGACAGACAATGGATTGGACCACCTAAGAGTTTATTCTACTCCAAACAGGATTATTTGTAACACATTATAGAGCCAGGAACATATAAATATCCTTACAAGTGTCCCATCGAGCAGCTGTCCTTAGCTAGACATATTTTGCTCACTTCCTTCCCCTTACATCTTTTGACCATCGAGTGATTAATTTTGGACCGAGGTGTGCCCTC